GAGTTTAGGGTTCTAGGTTTAGAGTATTGAGCTTACCGGTATAAGGGTATGGAGTAAAGGGCTTGGACTTGGGTTTAGGGTATAGGGTATCGAGGTTAAGGGTTTAAGGCCGTGGGCTTAGAGTTCGGGCTTGCGGCTCAGGCTTTGGATGTTTTGGTTCATGGCTTTCTCATCTAGAGCAAAGTGCGGAACTCAGGATTCAGGGTTTATATGGTCTAGGACATCATTCCAAAAGCTTCTTTATTCGTGTCTTCGAGGCCCTTTCTCATGGGTTTAGAGGGTTAAGGGTTTAGGTTAAAGGCCTAAACTTTTGGGTTTAGTTCGAGGTCAAGGTTTACGGGTTGTGGGAGTCAGCCCTCAACCCTAAACCCAAACCCGCAGCGCTAGATCACTAAATCCCACACCCCAAGCCCTGAACCCCAAACCTCCAAAACCCCCACAACTTCTACACCCCGAAGCCCCAGACCCCTAAGCCCTAAACTTATATTTAAAACACCCAAAACCCCTAAACCCTTAGACCCCCAAGCCTTTCACCCTAAAACCCTCCGAAACCCCACCCCTGGCCTTCCTGGCATCGTGGTGATCCGCTCCACCGGCCTGCAGGAAGGCGTTGAGCTCTGGGAGGAAGGCCTCCATGCCTCTTCGGAAGGGAATTATATGTTTTTAGGGTTTAGGGTAATGTTTTTTGGTGGTTAGACCTAGTAAGATTATATGTTTTATATAAAATACTATAACCCAAGGGAAATACGGGAGCTATAGTCTGGGTAGGCCCCAAGGATATTTAACATTTTCCCTAATGGCTTTAATAACGGACCCTATATACCAATATTTTTCAAAGGGTTTTAGGGGCCAACCCAGTAGTCAATATAGTCTTTGGGGTCTAGGTTTTTAGGGTTTCCTCTAGGATTTGAGGGGTTCAGGGTTGCAGATTTGAGGAGTTTAGGGTTTAGGATTTCGAAAATTAAGGTGTCAGGGATTGAACATTTGGGGGAAAGAAGTTAGACGAGATAAGGGGTCTAAGGTGTTGAGGGCTTAGGGCTCTAAGCAAATTCGGTCCTAGGGATTTAGGGTTCGGGATTTGGAACTTGAGAGTTGCGGGAACAAAGGGTGTTACGGATTCAGGGCTTTGGGATTTGGGGACAAAGGAAACTCGGGCGTATTTTGGGGTTTGGGACTTGGGGTGAAAGGTTTAGAGTTTAAGGTTGAAGGCTTAGGGTTTAGGGCTTCATACAAGAAGACTCTGCGAACCATCCAGATGCCTGTCTCCTTACGATTGACTTGCGGACGGGCGGCTAAATCCCTCGATGACTTGCGCCATACGCCCCTCGATCCACATCTCGATCAGCTTGATGTACTGCTGGTGGATGATGGTGTAGGACAGCTTGTTCCTCGGCAACCAGCGACCATTGGATTTTGGATCGAAGACTGCCTCTCCCAAACTAGCAAGGCTTCTGGAAAAGGGCCCTATGAAGACGACTGTCCGTTTAAAGACGTTGACATGGGGTTCCATATCAATTTAGGGGAGGGTATCAATCCAAACGGGGCCCCAAAGGACATATCCCATGAGGTGTGGAGACTCTGAGACATTGCTGGATCTAAAAGACAAGTGACAAGCTCATCGCTGCATCGTTCCGAGCAAGTATGACAAGAGGAAGACCATACAACTCTTCCAACTCAACAAAATGCAACATGTTGATGATTCTCACCTTGTTTTGCCTTGAATGGCATTGGCTACTCTTCACCACCCGCCCATGTGAAGGTTTGGAATCAAGACCTGTACGGGGAGGGTAGATGTGTTATAATTGACACGACCCTAAACCCTCAACCCTACACCACTAGCCCTGAAATCATGAACCCCTACAACCTTACACCACCACACCCCTTTAACCTCAACACCCTTCAACCCACCAGAACTTCAAACCTTCTAACCCCTTTAACCCGTTGTGCCTCAACCCCCTAAAATTTCTAGACCCCAAAAGCCCTGAATTGAGACAGGCTGCTCCTCCTGTTCCTCAAACTCCCGGCAGTGCTCCCGCTCGAAGCGCCGCAGCGTCTCGATGAAGAGCGGATCCTAGCCGAAGGGGGGTCGGGTCAAAATCCTCCAACTATGACGCATTGGGTTTAGCTCTTGTTGGAGACGGGCTTAGGATTCAAGATTTAGGGATTAGAGATCAGAGTTTAGGGTTCAAAGCTTGAGATTGATCGATTAGGGTTCATATGGCACCCCAAAAAAAAAACGACAAACCGCAACGTTATCACTGCCTGTCTTCAATCCGTGCGAAGCTAGCTGTAAGATCGGATGCGAGTAGCGTTTTTTGGTGGTTGAACCTAGTAAGATTAAACTCTTTATGTACGATACTATACCCCAAAAGGAGGATATTATCTTACTATATATTGGGTACCATAGTATCCCCAAATAAAATACTACTCGCGTGTCTTTCTCAGAAGATTAGATGGGACTACCAGGGGCCACCCTCGAACAGACACTCATGCGAGGCCTCGATGCACTGCATCATCACCTGGAAGCAATCGCTGACCTCAGTGCCCGTACAAATCTGCTTGAGAGAGCTGCCTTTACATCGTTCTGTGGCCTCTAACGCCATCTCTATGCATTATACCCAAATGTGAAATACAAAATCCAAGATGCTGCATGGCTCTTCTCCTCCCCAAACCGCCTTTACCCATGCTTTTTGCGCTGGTCATGCCCCTAGACCCCTCCGCATACCTATTTCCCATATCCCATGCTAGGATTCAGAGCTGCAAGCAAGCAACATTGTGCGCCATGCTTCGTAGCTGACAGCCTATCCTACGCAAGAGGACGCCTCTGCTTGAGCATATCACTGCAAAGAAATCAGCGAGCCAGGTTTCGGGGTTCTTGGGGTGTAGGTAAGGGTTAAGGGCTCAGGGGGGGTTATCGCGGATGTACCTCCACTTCGGAATTCGGACACAAAATCCTGGCTTGGATTCCTCATCCCACCGCGCCCTCCTACACCCTTGTGCATTCACGCGTGCATCTTATGCACGGATTGGGGAGCTAAGTACGAACAGGCGAAGATGCCATAGTACCTTGCCGGGAATTGTCCAGGCAATCCTATGCCTTCCAACCCAAGACCGATTATGCGTTCCAAAACACTAAATCCCAAACCCTAAACCCTTTGCTTGGATTTTACGAAGTTAAAGCACGGAAACCTGAGACACGGGACCCATCAGGAGCGGCGAGGAATTCATGAAATGCTACCTCGCGAAAACTTGGCCCCCAACCCTACAGCATCAACCCTCACCCCTAAGACCCAAGGCAAACTCCGGCCGGGAAGATGAACTCCCGGAACTTGGCCAGGACTTTGGCGGCGAAATTGCTCTGCACCTCAGCTCGTGGACTTTGAGATGGGTAGGAGAGCAAGTTTGCAGGATTGAAGGTTAGGGTGAAGCATATAGGGGCTAGGGCTTAGTAAGAAGGCCAACCATAAAGGTCCAGGCTTGGGCAGGGACTTGCACTTTTTTCAGATGCAAGGGATGGCCCAAGCCAGCCAAGCGAATGGCATTCACAACGTTAACACTTTCGGAGGCCGTGGCAGTCTCCTCAGCCTTAGCCCCTGGGCCACAGAGACTGTCTACTTCTGCATGTCACCACGCAAAGAAATCCCCCGAGGCTTGCACCACAGACTGAATGAGGCGCTGAAGGCCTTGGCATAACCCAAGCTCGCAGGCAGCTTCTTGTGGGTTTAGACTGAAGGGTAATATGTAGCTAAGAGCCACTGTTGAAACTTTCACCATCAGTTGTTCTGTAAGTAGATCGTGAAAGTGACTGGAAGTTCAGAGCTTGCGGCAGACTGACATCGGGTTTAAGGTCAACGGTTCAGGAAATCGAGATTTTTTTGTGGCGGACTTGTGTCATCCTGTTAGAACGTCGCAAGGTGAATCTCGGCGAAAGTTGTCTATGCAGCCTCCGCACGACAAAAGCAGGTAGCCATCTCTAACAAGTTCAGGAACATCCCTCGAGCTATTTCTTGGATGTCAGCTACAATTAGCATTGAAAGCAATACAAAAATTGTCCGGGCTAAACCTCAACTCGTCCAGAAAAATGGTTCCATACTCCGCTGCGACCTTGCCTCACCCCCTTGTACTGCAGAAGGCTGCACAACTCAAAACTCAACACCCTGACATCCAAAGAAATCTAAGCTCTCTTTTCCTGTCTGAGCAGTAGTTAGAGCCTCGTAGATGCAGCGCCAAGCAACGAGCCCAAGCAACGAGCACGCAGTGAAGCACTCCCACACCCCACACCCCAGCCCATCAGTCCTAGCCCCAAATAGAGGTTTGGCTTTGGGGTGATAGGGTTTAGGGTTTAAAGTGTGGGGAGAGGGACTACTAGAGAAGCTCTCAGCCCCAAACCCAGCTAACCCACTGCAGCTAAACCCATAGAGCCCCATCTACCAAGACCCAAACCCTCAACCCCCGCAAGCTTCGAGGATCCCCCGAAATCCCAGGAGATCTGACATCATACCCGCCAACCGCCAAACACAAACAACAGTTTTGTGATACCCTCCTCCCCCCACGGCCTTCATGCTTTAAAAAGACACACCACCAACGATTCTCGGCATCCCCGCGCTGAGCGTGATCCACAGGTACTCGCCGTAACCGCGGGCGCCTCATACTAAATCCGTTTGGGCTTTCCAACCCTCCGACGATCCCTGTGGGGCTGAAGGTTGTACGATTTAGAGTTTAGAGCTTAGGGGTTTGGGGAATTCTTGGCTTTGGAAGTTTGGCGTTTGCGCTTTCATTGGTTCAAGGATTTTACGTAATTTCCTCGTCAAACCCTAAACCCAGGTGGCCCTCTCATCGTTCTGAAAGCCTGAACAGGTGCCCAAACTATAGGGTTTTAGGGTTTAGGGTTTATTAGGTTCCTTTAACGGGAAATACGGGTTCAATAGGGCTTTCCCAAAATTAGGGGGTACCATTGTGGGGGACCCCATAATAAGGGTTGTAGTCTTTTGTGGTCTATATTGGGGTCCACCTCTTTGAGGAAACAATGAAATAAAGTTCTATTCCGCCATCAGAGGGATCTATGTGGTTTAAAGCTTGGAAAAATCATGAACAGGGTGGGCAGTGTAGGGTTTTCGTGGTTAAAGGTTTTTTGGGTTTGGGGATGCGGGGTCTTGGGGGACAACTCTGAACCCCTAAACCCTAAAACCCTAGACCCTAAACCACTAAACCCCTAAACCCTAAACCATGCAGCGGACTTTTAGGCTCTTT